TATTGTTTCTCTTATTCTTTTATTTTTCTTATATGTACCCATTTCATATATTCACAACTATGTATACACTTGTACTTATTATCTTGTAAACAATTGACAAATCAAATAAATAAATAAATAAAATGATAAAATTATCTTTCATGTTGTCCATATTTACCACATAAATTTGAAGTGTCTTTATACATTCTAGACAATTTTTCTGGGATCATATGCCCAATAGTACCTCATTTTATAAGAATTCTCTTTTAAGTTGTAGTATACATTTTTATCCTTTATACCACATATTTTTCTATGATCAGTAAGATCTTCCATTTGAAATTTCAGTAAAATTTTATAGTTTATCAGTTTGCAAATAGTTTAATTTCCATCTTCTACTGCTCAATTCCAAATGTTTTATTATCTGTCTTAAATCTCTCTGTGCATTAAGAATACCATTTAAAACTAAATCTCTTTGCAAAGTAGCTCCTTTCATTTAATCTTATATTCTCTATTAAAAGAATTAAAATTTTAGAATTTTTAATTAGAAATTATTAAAAAATTAAGATGGTGATAATCAAATTTTTTTAAAAATTAATTGACAAAAGAAAAACAAGGGCTGCAATAACACCAACCAACCCCACAACTGCATGCTTCTTTGGGCTTCCCACATACAAACAAGGCCACAGAGCCATGTTTTAACCCATCCCACTTCTGGAAAAAGAATATTCCATAGGATGGGAGCATTGGCAGAAAACACTGTATTCCTAGATCCCAGCAATCAGAGTCCATTAACTGATGGAGTCTGCAGCATACCTGAATTGATGGGATGCAGTGTGGACAACATGCCTGCAGGGTAAGGAAGTAAAAAATGAATGAAAGTAAGAAAAATGGATATACTGTGTCTCTGAAACTAAGGGCCTTGGAAATATGTACTGGATCTGAATAAAGGTGGTCTGATCTTGTAGAATAAAGTTGATAAATATATGTATTTAAATGAGTATATAGATTTGATTATGAATGAAATAGATACATGGAAGAAATGCTTAGTAAATCATTGTTCAGGGAATAGGAGCTAAGATAAGGACATTTGATGTGACTTTTTATCATTTAACATATTCCATTTATAAGGAATGTTTACAGCAATGATAGAAATGTGTACTGGTTGAATGATTTGTAGAGAATATCAGATTTGGGGATACCGTGAGAATGGAGGTACATAATAATGACAGGAAAAATGAGAAAGGGAAATCAACTTACAGAAACAGTGCAAGAAAATTAGAACAGGTAGAGATAGCCCTCGATTTATTACCATAGTTGGGACAAGAATTTCCATTGATAAACAAGGTTAATCTGATTTGTGATCAGGTGAGTTGCACCTGATTTGATGATTTTTTTGTCCTAGTTGTTAATCAAATCACTGCATTTGTTAAGTGATTCATGTAGTTATAAACTGACTTTGCTTGTTGGAAGCAAGCTTGGAAGGTCACAAATGATGATCACATGAATTCAGGATCTGGCAATTGTCATAAATAGATGCCAGTTACCAAGCACCCAAATTTTGATTACATAACTGTGAGGATGCTGTAATGATCATTAGTGGAAGGACCAATCATAAGTCATTTTTTTCAGTGCCATTGTAACTTTTGCTAAATGAATGGGTGTAAGTCAAGGACTAACCACATAAGTTTCCATATCTTCATTATTAACACATTTTCTTTTTTTCATATTTCCTAAATTTTCATCTTCAACAGTAATTCAATTTTAGACTTTGAATTCTTATTCCAACTATCCAGCAGTTAATCAAATTAATATGGATTTGTTTTAATTTCCTTCTATCTTTCCTTCATTATATGTGATATATATTGCTGATTTTTTTTCATGCCATGATAGAAATGTAATTATTTTATACAATGGTTATACACTTATAAAGCCTGTTGCCCTGATGTTTAAGATATTGCTTGAACATGCATGGTTTACTATATTTGATATTATTGAGTTTTATTTCCCAACCAGAAATTTATCAGGAAAAGTATTCTGAAGAACCATATTGCATTAGGTTTAAGGTTGTTAATTTTCAAAGCTCCTGGGAATACAATTCTGTCATTTTCTATTTATTTGGGAGCAGTAGCAGATGGAAGAAAACATGCTTCGTGTCACTGTAAGATTTTTTTTAAACAGAAACTGGCAGAGTAAGAATAGTGATAAACTCTGGAAATACTAGCATCAGAAAAGGCTAGGGTTACCAAAGATACTGTAGAAATCTTTGTCTGTGAAAATAAGTTGAGAAAACAAGTGTATATGTCAAGTTTTACATTTTAAACCTGCATTGAAGCTATTTCAGAACGTTTAGTACTCATCATTAAACCTATTGTTTTTGATATTGTAAATCATTGAGAATCACCTCATAGTGACATTTTCCATGCATAAAGATACTTGCCAAACAAGAAGACAAAATGGACTCAAAAGAAATGCAGAAATACTGGGGAATCGGGAAGCTTAGGAAATTTTCTAAGTTCTATGCATGTTTCTATTAAGAAAAGGAACATCTCTACTTGATAAACCAACTCATCCTTTATGATCTATAGGAGAGGCGCTGCTTAAAGAGTTTCCATCTAGGACCCCCTTTATATATACCATTTTTGGCATGTAACTTTATGCGGGAGCAATGGTGGAGGCATCACCAACCACAGCTGTAGAGGTATGTGCCAGCTGTGATTATGGCTGCTGTAGGTGCAACCTAAAGAAATGACCGGTTAAGCTTTATGGTTTAACTATTTTTTTCTCTTTCACAGGCTACTGATCATCCAATTAGAAGTCCTGTCAAAAGATACAGTGATGATTACATCCTAGTTTGTAAAAAAGAAGGAAAAGTTGTGTCTGCCTCTGAACAAGAACAGATTCTGCCAGTTTCCCAGGATATGAACATGAAGAGTGAGGCCCCATGTCACACTTCTTTAGCTTTCACTGATCCACTGCTGGGATCTATGTCTGCATCTTCAAGTAATCTCAGTTCTAGTCCTGATGATAGCAGCAGCAGCAACAGCAAGGATTCTGATTTTACAATTGTTAGTCCTCTTGAAATGTAACAAAGTTATTCAAGAAGGTAGCAACTCCTGTGCCTCAAGATTTGGTCTGTTGGGATTCCATGTTTATAAGGCTAAACATGTCAGTGCACAGATACTATCAAGGCAACCCATGTTAACCAAAAACAGCAAACATGTAATGATGGCCTTTAAAATACACACATGAAATATCAAGATGTAATACATAAGTGCAGATACTTGTTGGCTTACTCCTATTAACAGATTTTTGAAACCTTGAATTAGTAAGTTTATATTCTTTCATCATATAAAATAAAATGCATTGCATAATATCATGAATTTACTGGAAAGAACCTGCTCAAATATAGGGAAACAAATAAATATAAAAATAATTTCAGAACCTGTTAGATAATATATGCTATGAGTAGAATCAGATATTCCTGTCATCAGACTAGAGGAATAAACATTTCAAGTTATATCCCATTACTTCTCTGATGCTGCCTCCTAAATCATTTTCTGAAGAAGAAAACAGCCACGATCACTTTAGAGATGGTGCCAAACCAATAGCTACTATTCATGCAAATATTCATACTTATAAGGTAATACAAATAATATAAATTCAATGCCTTGAAACAGTTGGGGTTATAGCTCTACCAGTCCTGAATTTGTTTCCTAACATCTGGGATGTATTTTTACAGTTATTTCAATACTTCTGCCATCCTGTTTTGCCTAGGAACAAAATTTATTGAGAATCTTAATGCTGCGGTATTCCTTAAGCATTTAGAAAAATCATTTTTAAATGTTAAAGTACAGGATCTATCTTTTTTGCACTAACGACAGCAAAACTCCTAAGTGTTTGAATCTTCATGCTGTCTATGATTCACTCAAGGCCATATTTCTCTGTCAGCACTGTAGAGGGCTAAAATATTTCTGGACCCCGTTTATTCTATTATCCTGACAATCTCAAAACAACATTCATAGGTTAGTGTCCGGTTTTGGGAGGAGATAGATTTTGGTTTTGGGGTTTTTTACTAAATACTGCAGGAAATAGTTACAGACATCAACTTTATTAAAGTTTATTTTATGAAACAGCCCAAAGTCTCGACTTTATTGAGGCACTCTGATTTCTAACTGGATTTCCTTTTCTCATGCAGCCATTGCTAATTCCACACTTGCTAACTTTCTTGACCCAGAGAGGGGAAAAATAATGTATTAAGGTTAATTGGTCAGAATCGTGGCCTTATGCTGGTTTTTCTTTCTGGTATGTGGTATTCATTCCAAATAAATTGCATTTTCAAAACTGTTTTGTTGCTTGCAAGTTGAATGCTATTTAACTACATAGAGAAATGGGTCCTGAAACCAATATCTCTTTTTGATATTCCATCAAACTGGAATGCAAGTTTTCTCAAGATTTAGTTAAGAAGAGAGACATTTGTTCAGTGAATTAGCTTCCAAAAACTATTTCTCTACTGTAATAGGTAATCAACTTCTTAGATAGAAATGATTGCTTATACTTAGACAGTATAAGCAATCATTTAAAAAATTGATTTACTAAAAAGGTTAGATATATTCTCTCTTGAACCCTTGGAACTAATGATGACAACAGTGTCTAGTATAACTTTATCATTTTTCCCTCCTGGTTAGTAATATTCTCAGAGCTTTATCCTTAAGCAAAACACTCCCAGTATGTTTTTATTTCTATTGGCCACTCAATACTGTAGCCATAATCATGATGAGTGATAGGGCATGAGAATGTGAACACTGATGTATAACAACTGTCATTACAATTTCCATGAGCAATTCTTTTCTCTATGAATATGATGTGTGAATCATGATAACCCAAAGTGTAACCTGATCATAAACTACAGAGAATGTGCTCATACAGCATACAGCTCTTTTTTAATATTACGCTAGTAACTTTCTAGATCATACATTTAGAATTTGAAATATTGAAAAATCTACCACTTTCTGAACATGTTCTGAGCTTGATGTGGTAAATTTAACTGAATTTACTGTCCTAAAATTCATTTGGTTCTCCCCCGAGTCACTTGGATTTGTTATGCACTGTCCTTTAGCCATAGTTTTGTATCTATGAATTTACTGGCATAAGACTAAAATTATCAAGTAATTGCTATCATATATGACAATTGTATAATTACATGTTCAAATAACTTGAAGTTAACTTAGAGTTAGATATAATATTGAGAGTTTCTATAAAGAGCTTCAGAGTATATACTGATAGCGTTAATGAATAAAGTCATCATATTGCTGATTCAAATGAAAAACTTAAAAATGTTCTGATTATGCAATTTTAAATCTAATACTGTTTTACTTAAACTTTCACAAAATAAATCACCTCAGGATTCATCCCTATGATCAGTATAGATTTATTTAATTTCGTTGATTTTCATGAGGATGATAAAAGAGAATGACATGGCTGGTGATTAATTTGACATGGCTAACCTTACTCCTTTCTGCCTTTAATTTTTCCTTTCTTACCATACATTAAAAGTGCCATTTAAAGCAAACTATTTAATAGTAGAAAATGAAACAGGATAGATGAAAAAATAGTAGGTCACCTTTCATTATGTTTGAAAAAAAGAAAAAATAGTTGGGCAGAGATTTGTTTTGTATGTTTTGTATATGACCCATGGTGGCGCAGTGGTTAGTACTGCAAATCTCACCAGGCTCAAGGTTGATTCAGCCTTCCATCCATCTGAGGTGGGTAAAATGAGGATGCAAAATGTTGGGGGCAATATGCTGATTCTGTAAACCGCTTACAGAGGGCTTGAAAGCACTGTAAAGCGATATAAATCTAAGTGCTATTGCTTTTGCTATGTTTGTTTATGTCGTTAAATGTTTGACTCTGCCTATTTCATGGTTCAAATTATTTTTCCTGTCAGAGCAATTTTTGCTGTAATATATTTGCCTTATTTAGTATATATTTAGTTTTTCAATGTTATGCTTCTGGTTTCATATAATAAATAGCACTTTGCTAACAGAAAGGTAAATAATTCCTTTGGAAAAGTCAAATATAGTAATGCCATGTGGTAAAACTTAATGTACCAAATTTCATTTTGCATGACACTGAAAGTGTCAATCAAAAAAGATTAGACCATTATAACATGTTGCTTTTTACCAGGTGTACTAAGATTCCCAAATTAAAGCACCATTTATTTTCTCTTTAAAGTGCAATCTGCTCATCTCAACTATTGTTAACATTAAGCTGACAGGAAAGAATATAAAGGGTTGGTTAGTATTAATATATGATGCTCTAAAACATTTTTCAACCTATTAGAAGCTCTTCTGGATTTCTCGCATCTCTAAACTATGGTTTCAAATTTTGCATGTCATCTTACTGAAGAATGTTGAGGATAATTTAGTGACTAGATCTGTTCATTTTTAACTGAACGGTTGTATTTTTTCCTCTCTAACAATGACTGCCTACTTTATTAAAGAAATAATTAACATATACACATCTTGAATTTTGTGCTTTATTTTATAAAAGTTAAGAGCTATTTTATCTCTTACCCATCTTAGGAAAGTAGAATTCTCTTCAATGTTTTAATACATGAAGTGATAGCAATAAATAATGTAAAATATGTTTAAGACACTATACTCTGAGACAAGTATTTGGGAGTCAACAGTGTATGTAATAATGGAGGAAACTATTTACAAAGAAAGGAAAGATAGACTTATCCACTATATTTTTACAAATATTATCTCTTCCTTGTGTATTCATTTTGGTTTATATCACTGTCTCTTGAAGAAGCTTATTCCTGTCAGATTAATCCAATGCAAATATTAAATATTTGTTGCATGGAGAAAAATTGGAATGTGTGCTAAAATCCTGTTCCTTCAGCTCAGTGTCTGTGTTTTATTTTCATACTTACATTATTTTATGTACTGTGTTTCTCACATAATAAGGCCGGGCCTTTTTTTTTTTTTTTTTTTTTTTGAGCCCTGAAAAAACGGCTAGGCCGTCTTTTCGGGGGTAACTTAATTTCCCCCCTTTCATCCTCATCTAGCGCGCCCCGCAAGCAGCCTCGCCACCAGCCGCTCCTAACGGGCGATCATGGCAAAGCGCAGAGAGCTCCCTACTCCCACCAAACACCTTTGCTGCAGACCCAAGACCTTTGGCACCTGCCGCTGTTGCTTTCCCTTCTGCCCATTCCGCTGCCGTTTGGAGTGCCGTTGGAGCTGCCTCTGCCGTTTGGAGCCGCCGCCGTTTGGAGTGCCATTGGAGCTGCTGCCGCCGTTTGGAGCTGCCTCTGCCGTTTGAAGCTGCCGCTTCCGCGTTTGGAGCACTGCCGCTGTTTGGAGCACCACCGCCACTCCAAACATGGCGGCAGCTCCAAACACGGAAACGGCAGCTCCAAACGTGACGGCAGCACTCCAAACGGCGGCGGTGGCTCCAAACGGCAGAGGCAGCTCCAA